TTCAATTGTTTAAATCTTCTTTGAAAAACCAGTGACCTGGCAAACAGTGCGCCTGGCACAGGCACTCTTGCTGTGAAAAATGGTACAATAATAACAAAAAGGCAAGATCACAAATGTAGTCATTTTGTGTGGAGGTTGATTCTCTTTAGGAACGTAGGGATTGTCATACACCAACAGACCCAGTGGCCTATGTAATCCAGTACCCCACCTGTGATGGTGGCTAGTATTGCATGCTTTAGCAGGAGAGGTATGAAACATTGTAGTGGCAAGCACAAAATAAAGGGAATACCTCCTTATCTACTTCCCTCAGATAGTGGTTGGCTTCTACCTTGAAAAGAAGGCAAGGGGGTGCCTCAGATGTCCACACAAGCATCCAGTCAATTCTATATTGTGTTTTTTGTTTGGGGAGGGGGAATTGTTTTATTTTATTTTATTTTTGCTGTCTTTAAAGTGCTCTAGTACACTGTAATGGAAAATTCTACCTCTGGAAGATGTACTGGTTTGTCCTGGATGTGTATTGTCCTGCTCTACCTACCTCTTCTCCCCCCATGGACATAGGATGTTGGTCTTTTTCATATATATAATTTACCTGGTATTACAGTCAAACTTTGATGTTTTTGTCATTCCCAGGATCAGCTCCCAGTATCTGTTCTATAGACAGTCTGTTTGTCCCCTTTTTGTTGCCTGTTACAGCAAGTAATTTGTATGAAAGTTTGCACACAATTAGCATCTCAGCCAATTGGTATTTAGTTTCCTTCAGACCTCTAGGATGCATACCAGCAGGTCCTACTGCCTAGTGTGAAGTTAACCATTTGTATGCCAGTCTGACTTTCACTTTTGTTACCAGCAAGCAGTGAGGCCGAGCTAAGCATCTGTCCAAGATCTGAGGTGGTAAAGAGTAGTTCACTGCTTTTCTACAATGCCCTTATTCCTCAACTTTTAGTAGACTTGTAGAGCTTCAGGCTAGAAGAGACCGTAAAATAAACTAGCCTGACACTCCAGGCCATGAAATTTAGCTCAAGTTGCCATTGCACTGAGCCCAGTAACGTGTGTGGGTGGGGTCCATTCTCCATTTACTCCCATGTTGTGTCTCAAGACTTCCTGCTTCTGAGGTGCTTAAAGAATGCCATTTTGTTGAGTAGATCTTTGGTTATTTATGTTTCAAATTCCTCCTTAGCTCTCCTAATTCCCAGCTGATTTTTAGCTGCCATTGTTGACCGTCCTTCCTATGAACTTCATTTGGGCTTTTCAAATGATACCTGCTTCATTTAAAATGAAGCTTTAGCTCTTGCTGTTCTACCTGGCTCTCCTTCCTTTGCCATCCTGTTCCTTTCTTGGGGGCAGGGGGAGAGGGATGGGTGAGATGCTTCTTGTGACTGACAAAAGGCTGATTCAGGTTGCACCAAGTCAAAGTTACTTTAATGTTCTTGTCAGGGTTGTCCTGACTTGGCATCCTCATTTTTTATTTAAACTCCCCCTTCTTCATTTTCTGTTGTGTTTTTAATGCAAGGCCTCCCCTGGGAATGTTGGGCTTAATTACATTGTTCTGGATTGTCAATAGCTTGCATGTTACTTAAGACTATGCTGAGTACAGCTTCCCACGTTTCAATTTTTTTTTCTCCATGAAGGAATTAAGTTTGCATATTGCTCCTCTAAATTACATCCCATCTGCCATTTGGCCAATTTATATGCAGGTAGTCAAAGCCCCTCATCAGTATTATTTTTACTAGCTGTTGTCCCTCTGTATTGTTTTCCCTCGTGTGTATTCTGGTGCACTGAGAGCAATGGATGGATTCCTTATGAACTTGAATGGCAATATAGATCAGAACTTCAGTATTACTTCATGATCTGGAGGCTAGTGTTCATAACTGCAAGTACTTGTGTAACTGTTATTTGGAATTTCTTTCTACACCAATTCTACTGGATGTTTTTTCTTCACTCATGGTCTAGCCTGGTAATGTTTCTATGGAGTTTTCTAGGGATAGCATGGCTACTTCACTTCTTCTAGTCTGATCTCTTGGGATGCTTTGAGTGTGTCCCACTACTTTGTTTTCATTGCACCATTTTTTAGTAATGCCTCATTTTGCTTTTTATGCTGTTGTCCATTGGTACATGGACACATCCAGTCTTTATTTTTATCCTTAGGTCAATCTTCAGTCAATACCTTTCTCTAGAACACTTATTCTTCAGTAATATATCTTAGCTTGTCCCTTTCCAAGTTCAGCTGGAATGTCTGCCCTACCCTTCAGTGCAAGATGATATGAAGTAACTCTTGAATTGCTGACATTCCTACCAGAAGTCTCTGTCCAACATGTCTTTTCTTATGTTTAAGGGTTTTTCCATCTACAGATAAGTTCTCTCCAACTGAGCATTCAAAAACTTATCCTTCATACTCAAGGATGTTACGCACAAACCAAAGTAGTACATGTTTATTTACAGGATGGAAGTATAAAACCATTGTTAAAATATAGCTTTTAGTTTGGCCATGCATGGAAAAAGGTGTTTGTGTTTGAGTTCAGAGTAAACAGATTCAAGACATAAATGTCCTTGTCTGGCTGTGTGAATGTAGAGTGAAATGTAGCATTGCATCCTGTACATTTACATTAAATGTGTTTGTAGCTGCCTTCAGCAACATAGTGTTGTTTTTTTCTTTTTTTAGTTTGCTGCTATTTGAAGCTGGTTATGCAGCTTTATTATATGTTTAATGTTAATTGCTCTGAAAGTTCTTTTGCACCAAGTAACCTTGAAGAACTTTTAAGAAAAAAAGCATTCAAGCATATGAGACTTAGTAGACAATCCTGCTTACTTTTTAACTTAGTTTTTACCAGATTATCTGATCTTATTTTTTTAATCATTTTCCCTTTTGGGGGCCTCTCTGAGGTGGTTAAGAGGAGCACTAGATCACAGCAACACTTTTAGGGTTAGCAAGTTTGTACTTGCAGTGGTGCTTATGTGCAAGGCAGTGAGCTAGAGTTCTGTTAATGACAGCTAGGAATTTCCTTCATTACTCTTTTCCCTGAAGCCAATTCTTGTGACAGTCTTATTCTGAAATGTGGTGTACCCGCTTACCTGATGGTACCTACTATTGCTTGTATCAGAATGCTTGGGGAACCGATTCATTATGACAGGACCACAATGCAAATAGAAAAACAAAAGGTAATTCCAGCAAACCTATCCATCCCCTTTTGAGAATTAGAGTTAAAGGTGAATAGACTTTTTTAATCCTATATTGTTCGGACTATGTCTGAACATTTTTTGACTCCAAAAGGAACCATTAAAAACATTCACTACATACACAGTTGACCTGTAATCAGGAGCCTTACTGTCTTGACTTTTGTACTTGCAGTTTTTTGTGCAAGCAATAAAAATGCAAGTCATTTTTTCAGTGTAGTTTTAGTATTTACAGTGTATTTAATGCTTTGGGTCCTTTCCTCGGTTATTTTTCTGCAAGGGTAACAGCAGTCTGTATTGGGTGTTGCTGATTTATAGTCAAGGGAATTTGTCGTCAGGTTAAGTCTGAAAATGTGGGTTTGACCTGAAATTAAACAATAGAGTACTTTAAACTCCAGGTCACTACACACAGGGAACTAGGGTCTTTGATGCATTTAAAGGTACAGTTTTGATACTTTCAAAGAGATTGTGCATACTATTCTGCTCCTGTACAGAACGTGGTTTGTCACTAACATTGTACCAGTGATTGGGATTTTAGGGTGGTTTGAGCCAACTAGCTAACATAGACTAAGTCTTAAAGAACAGTGGCTGTCTCTTCCAGTTCCCTGCTCTTCTTGAATTGTAATGTGTTCAGTAAGTGGTGCTGAGTAAGCTGTATGTAGCAACTGTTCAAAAAGTTTGGTTCTTACAAACTATGCCCCTTACATTCCGTGGTTCTCTAGCTTCAGCATAACTGTATGCTCTTTAAACAACCAGTATTGTTAGCAGTGACTTAAGAATAAACCTGCATACACAACCATCTGCATGTTGTTTAACTTGTGTTGCCAAGTCTGCACTTATCCTTCTGACTATGGCAGCAAATACAGAAAAGGCTAATGTGCATTGAAAGGGGACTTGCATTTCAAGAATCTACTTTAGGAAAGTGTTAGGGAAATAACCACTTTGCAGAAATCAGTGGCCTTGTACCTTGCTACAGAAAGTTTATTTCTAGTGTCCTGATTGTTGTTACACTAATTCCTTAATCACCTTCTACATGCTGACCAATACCCTTCCCCCCCCACACACCCTTCTTTGTTGCCATGTCCCATTATATAAGACTTCAACCAGCTTTCACATAGCCAAGAGAGAGACATGTTTCCTTTGTTCCTACCCTACCCAGAGACTTGCGTGAACAGCAGTTGCACTATGAGCAGCTTATGTAAGGCTTCTATGAATAACTGTTCCTTTGGGCTACACAATTGTTACTTCCCCTCAAAGTGGAATCTACAGTACTTGCTACTTCTCTGAGCTAGGACACTTATATGCTTCAAAGTGCCATGTCTGTGTAAATTCTACTCCTGCAGACACTCAAAGCTTCAATAAGGTGTAACGGACAGATTAATTCAGCAGTACTTTAGGATAGTTGATCAGAATCATAGAAAGTTAGGGATCTCAGGTCATCTAGTCCAACCATCTGCTCAAAGCAGGATTAGGTCAAATATTGCTTGATCAATTAGTGGGGAAGTCTCTCTTTTATTAGAGGAAGAGTTTTCTATGCTTTTAGGGACCTGTTACCATTCTTTGAAAGAATTTTAAGCAAAGCTTTTCTGTAGAGGCTTCACTTCTGCTGGCTTGATTCTTTACCTCCCATTTAATTCACATACTAGATAGCAGCCTCACTTACTTTGTCTAATGCTGACTAAACCATATGGCTTAAAGACTTCACTTTCACAATAGAAACTAAAGGCCCATTTTTGTCTCCTCTCAATGAAAATCAAATTCCCCCAAAAAGCACTACCACAAGTGGGTCTAGTAGAATTTGGGATTATAGCTTCACAAACTACACAAGGCATTTTTAAAAAATTTTATTGTGCAAGATGTGCAGTCAAAGACATTAGTTCTCTTTCTCCTGCACAGTCTTTGTTCCACGCAGTCTTCCAGTACGACGGGCAGCAATAAGGCCAACCTTACGCCCAGCTGGAGCATCTCTCCTGATGGTTGATGGCTTACCAATGTGCTGATGGTTACCACCACCAAAAGGATGTTCTACAGGCTATGAAGAGAATACACCACAGTCAATGTATTTGGAAATAGCAGGCAGCCAAGAATGTTCAAAAGTTACAATAAAAATCAAGACTAGCATTGGTGACAGGAACATAAGAGCTCAACAGGGACTTATTCTTTTACATAAAGAAACTTTGGGCAAGAGAGAGATATCACTTCATCTGCTAACAATGAAGACATTTAATACTAGAAGGATAGCATCTATGTTTTCTAGCATTAGGACTTAACCACAATACTGTTCTTGCAAGCACTTACACTCTTAGAATGTAAAAATCTTATACTTCAGATGAGGTACAGAAGAGAGGCACTTGAAAGCCAAGATACTTACGTTCATAGCCACACCACGAACACGGGGCCAGCAGTTCCGCTTAGCCTTATATTTATGGTAGGCACGACCAGCCTTTAAGATAGGTTTGTCAATACGACCTCCACCAGCAACAATGCCTGGAATTCACATTAAAGAGTTATTCTGGAACCAAGGCTCTTATAATCATTTAAGTGACAGGCCTTAATTAATTCAGCTAAGTCTTCATCTAAAGATGAAGAACTTAGTCTGGTAGGATAAGATAACTTAAGAAGGAGAAGAATCTGTTCATGCTACATCAAATGCTGTTACTATCATTATTCAAGTTTTAAAAAGAAAAATTAACTCACACATTGCCTAAGGCCAGGCTATTTGCTTTAAATGATTTATAGGTGCACAAGAGCTCACTGCTGCATGTGAAAGCCTGGACAAGACCTGATCTGTAAACCTGAACTCCTCAGCATCTTATATTATGTACCAACAAGGACTCCGCATGCTTTCAGCAACACTGCCCTAAATGCCTTTTCAACTCATAACTCCTTCCTTCAAGCTCTTTAAAAACAATTAGCAATTCTCTGAGATTTGGACCTTGCTTCCCTTATTTCAGGGAACAAGTACTTATATGCTCCTCCTGCTTCAGAAGCTTTAAAAATGCTAAAGTTCCCACCACTACCACACAATTTTGTGCACAAGCAAGGATTTATGTAGGTAAAGTACACACAGTTTTCAATGAGGGACATCTAAAATACTGTCTACAACACGCCCCACAATTAAGTTAGAGATGTTAACAGGGAGCCTGCTCTCTCAGCTCTCTAGTTTGGCTATAGTAATTTTAAGACTGTATGGATGCACAGCTGTCACTTGCTACTTACCCACAACAGCTCTGTTTGCAGAAGAGATCACCTTCTTGGAACCTGAAGGCAGCTTCACTCTGGTTTTCTTGGTTTCAGGATTGTGAGAGATAACTGTGGCATAGTTTCCAGAAGCACGGGCCAGCTTACCACGGTCACCAGGTTTCTCTTCAAGGCAGCAAACAATGGTGCCTTCTGGCATGGTGCCAACAGGCAGGACATTGCCAATGTTAAGCTGAGCTGAAAGAAAACAGTTATTTCAGTTCTCTAGAAACATTTATCTTGATGGACTTTCTATACCAAGTGAATGCAACCTTTCTTAGCCATCCACAGGCAAGCCACATACTAGAATCAGGATTTTAAACAAAGCCTTTGTACTATGGAAAAAGTTATCACTACAAGCATTTATACAGTATGTGTCATCAGAACACCATTTGGAATGAACAGAAGCCCTGCTTTTCAGCAGCATGGGGACTTGAAGAAGGCTGTTCAAATACAAGGGAATCTACAGAATCCTATTATCTAGTTCTAAGCTTGAAGTGTTAGAGCAGAGTTTCCTAAACTTTTTATACTGAGGACTGGCAAATCAGAAACTGGTAGTGACCACGGACCAGCAGTGACCAGCATACTGCAGGCAGGCAGCCAATGCTTTTTATACTCGGTATAAAAAAAAAAGGGTTGGCTGGTGGTTTGCAGTACGCCAGTCACTTCTAGTCCACAGTCACTTCCAGATCAGCAGCCAACCCTTTGTGGCCTGGCACCAGGCTGCAGCCCAGGGGTTGGGAACCCCTGTGTTAGAACCCTAGCTTTTCTGGTGAAGGAGAAAACCTTTACTATCCCAGGCTTTGTTTACCAAAACTGAATGGATTTTAGTGCTATATATGTATTAGGGGTACACCAATATATCATTTGGCTATCAGATCAGCACTAGTAAAGGGAGAAATTATGTTAAATCGGCTTTTTCTTGGTTGTTGTAGCCAATAATTATGGCTGCGTGCCTGGCAAGTGCAGGCCAGTCCCTGCACCCCACCACCAGCCCAAGCCCACATCAGACTACAGATCCTGGCAAACAGTGGGAGGGGGTGCTGGAGAGTGGTCACAGGGCAGTATGCTCAGCACATAGCAGAAGCCTGAGCACCACACAATATAAGGCACTGTGCAAGGGGGGACACACTGCTCCACCAAGCACCTCTGCAAAAGCAGGTTCTCCCTGGCAGCTATGGGAGTTTGGCTGCATGAGGCCCACTGGTGCCGAGGTGGCAGCAGACTGTTTCAGGGCTTCAAATACACCTGGCCCCACTCTGTACAAGGACCCACCCCACCTGTCCAGGATGGCTGCATGGGGAGCTGTGGACAAGGTGCATGGGAATAAAGGCAGTTACTGCTTCCTTCATCAAAGGCCTGAGCAGTCAGGAGCCACATCTCTGTGATGCTTAGCTTCAGTTCTCAAACTCTGGATTTGCATTTCCAGAGATCATAGGCAGACAAGGTTCTTTGGGTAGATATGATTTTTTATTAGGCCAACTAAATAGTTGAAAAAAATTGTTCTTTGCAAGCTTTCTGGCACAAATACCTTTCTTCAGGCATACAGAGTTTGTCATCTCCAGAGATAACATCCTTGTTAACATCAGTATATGGAGATAACAGACCTGATTACCTATGCATCAGCCCTACTGTCTCTCTGCAAGCTTGTGTACAGAGTCAAGCCTTTACCTCCCTCCAAAAGTGCAGTTTCAAGAAATTAAATGAATAAAAGGATATCAAAACAACAAGAATGCATTTTTGTAGAAAACAAAAACAAAACAAAAATAAATAAATAAATAAATAAATAAATAAATAAATAAAAATCAAGGCTTCCTGACCAGTGATTTCAATCAATTTGATTTAAATCAAATTCACTGCGATTGATCTATAACCCCCCCCACCCCTTTTTAAAGGCTAGCATGATGAATAAGTACAGATCAGACTACACTATGTGCATAGTGCACCAAACTTCTGAACACTGGATGAGCTGTGTACAAGTGTCAGGTTAACTCACCTTTCTTGCCACAATAAACAAATTGACCTGTATGGATACCCTCAGCTGCGATGAACAGTTCCGTCCTTTTCTTGAACCTGTATGGATCACGGAACACTATCTTGGCAAGGGGAGCACCTCTGCCAGGATCATGGATGATGTCCTGTTGGGATATTAGTTAAACTTGAAACAGTCATAAATTATGCTGGTGAGACTGCAGCAGATTTAAAAGCCTGTTAGGTTCTTTAGAGTAGTACAAACATTTCTGTTATGCCAATTGGTAAACAGCCATCGCTCAGTGCATTTCCACAGACCTGCTACATGTACAGAGTCATCATCAACATAAACTGCTGCATCTAAAGCCTAGGTGAACAAAGTTACTGGATTTCCACAAAACCTGCTGCTGCATGCTAATCCTTTTCAGTGCTTAATCCCTCCAGACCTCCCACCTAAACTCTTCCAGTTGGGAATTAATGAAAGTGAAGTCTCTAATTCATTAAGACCCTTACATCCAAGCTCTAGCCAAGGCATAACAGTGTTAAGCAATTACCAGACCAACACACACAGTAGCTTTTTCCAAGCATTGTTTTCAAATACGCATTGGCTGTTTCTCACAGACCTGCCCGTCACTGTTCTGTACTCGCATTTATTTCATGATTCAGAACCTCTAAGCTTTAAACTCTCTCATAAACACCTTTTTCCATGCCCCTCCTCCCCACCATTTACAACTTGCGCTCCCTTCCCCTCAGAGGTCTCACGCTGCCCTGTCATGCTTAAAGCTCCATCATGGATCATCTACACTAGGATTCTATCTCCAACACATCCAGCACAGAACAGCTTTCAGGTTTACTTCCCGTTCACTTTTAGCAGCCTGACACTGGAAACAGCAGCACGTCCCGATCTTTACCAGCCTTCCCCACAATGTGGGAACTAGCTGGAGCTCCACCTGCACCTCAGCACTGCACTCTCCTCTCAGCCAGGAGAGATGCTTCGCATAGGGGCAGCAGCTGGAAACAGCTTCTTTGCGAGCTTCCACACTTTACAAACACCCCCGACCTCCCTTACCTTGACGATGCCCTTGATGTAGCCGTGGCGTTCGGCGAAGTCTACGGCCCGCAGCTTGGCCGGACCCTTACGGTGCTTCACGTGGGCGCGGAACACGGACCCGGCGCCTTTGCGCTGCCCCCGGATCACGCGACCCATGGTGCTCTGCGGGGAAGACGGTGGCACACGTCAGACCTCGGCCCCCGCGGGCTACCCCACCTCTGACCCAGGCCCAAGCGGACCCTCCGCGGCCGCTTCCTCCCAGCCACCCCAGGCCAGGCCAAGACCAGGGCAGGAGAAGGGCCTGGCCCCGAGACGGCAGTGGGCGGCGGCGGAGGCCCGTCACAGCACCGATGGCGACGGATGGGCGAGCAGGCCGCAGCTAAGCCAGCTCCTACCTCGCTCGGGACTTCGCTCGGAAAGAAGGAAACAGCAGGTCACGGCAGCACTAAGTCCTTCCGGGAGCAGGGAGCGTGCCCCTGCGCGCTGACGTCACGCCACTAGCTGAGGGAGAGGGAGAGGAGCTGTTCAGTGACGTCACAGATGCCTCGCCTCCTCCCGATGGAAGGAATGGGTTGGAACCTCCTGTGGTGCGCATGCGCGCCTGCCGGGCCTGCGGGGAGGGGTGCTGCAGGAGAAGCGTTGACCACGTGTTCGTGCTCTGGTCCGGGCGCTGCTCTGGCCGGCGGCGGCCTCGGCTCTTGCACGGGCTGCGCTGGCTTGGCTTTGTTCAGGTGTCATGGCATCCTCAAAAAAGGGAAGTTAGGTTCTACTTGCAATTTGTAGAGGGAATCATAGGGTGATAGGATACTAGGGCTGGGAGGGACTGTCATTTAGCCCAGTGTTTCTCAATCCCTGGGTGGTGACCCAAAAGTGGGTGGCAAGAATATATAAAAGGGTGGCATGCAAACTTTAAAAATGGATTCCTCTTTAAAGGAGAAAAACGTGGGAAACTGGCTTTTCCCTTGCAGGCTGGTGGAGTTCCAGCCTGCATGGGGCTGTTGGACCCCTCCTGCCCCACACACACTGGGGGGCAGTGGGTTGGAGCGAGGGGCACTGCGTCAGGACTGGCCGTTTGATGTTTACAGATGGGTCCTGGTACAAAAAAGATTGAGGACCACTGATGTCGTCCAGCACCCTGGCTTCTCAGGGCAGAGTTATCCCAGACCAAACCATCCCAGCCAAGTGTTTATCCCACCTGCTCCTGGAAATTTCCAGGGATGGAGTTCCACAGGTAGCCTGTTCCAATGCTTAAGCACCCTCTGAGTCAGTAAGTTTCTCCTCATCTCCGAACTAAATTACCCTTGAAATCAACACGAAACAGCAAAAGGGAACATGAGAGAGGCCAGGAGAGCCAGTCACTGGCCCCGCTTTTCTGGGTTTTTTTAGCAGCATGATGAGAATAAACACTGCTATCCTTGCAACATCTCGGGCTTTAAGCCTTGGAGGTGCACATTTTCAAGCACACCTCTACCAACTATGACAGCCAGAAACATTTTTCTATTTTAATGACAGCTGAAATTTTTATGTAAAATGTCATTTTAGGGACTTTGTGAGATACACCAACTGTGGAGAAAGTCATCACAATTCAAGCAGGAAATATGGAAATAAGGCATTGTATAAAAAGGACTGGACAACAAACTTCATGTTGATGTCTGAGGAATAAAAAACATAAATCTCTGGACCTGGCAAGCAGACCTCTTCCAAATGACTGTCCTTCTGGCTGGGCTGCCACAGGAACATAGCATGCCAAGCTCCTGAAGTAAACCCAACGATTCTCAGCCGGGGGTCTCAAGAGTCTGTTAATAGTGCAGTGCAGACACACACAATAAACCCGGAAGTGATGAATCCAAAACCAGAGCATCCAAACCAACCTGAGGCACCGTGGGCTATTGGAGGTCTTTGCAAAAGAAGCTCCTGTCTTTTTCCATGCTCAAAGAAAACTAGGTAAAAGCTTAGAGTTGGCGTTTTCCAAGGGGTCCTTGAGTCCAAAGAGGTTGAGAACCTCTGAGTTAACCCAGAGCACAAAGTGATGTGAATGCTCCTACACTGGATTAATCTAGGTTTATTTTAGTTGAGTCAAATTGGTTAGGACCAAGCTTAATCGCTTCTCAGCCTCTTGAAGGCTCAGATCAAGAGTAGTGAGCGGGCCACAGCATCGGAGCCACATCTGGTTTTTCTGCAGCCTTTAAAAATATTTTCAAAGGTGTTTCCCCCCAGCGTGCCTTGGGCAGGATTTTCCTGCCATCATGAACAGTGCAACCTGTGCAGCTAAGTAATGCAACACAAGCTGTTACATACTGTCCTTTTTTTTCTTTTGGACTGGACTGTCTTTGCTGTGATTCACCGTGACCTGTGTCTGTGTTTGTGGCTCCTGGGGTAATGTTGATTATTTGACCCATGGGAGTGATTATCCTCAACCATGAGGGATCACCTCCACCAGCAACCTAAGACACACAGGACTGAGCATCACTGAGTTCAGGCAGACTGAAAGGTGAAATTTAAATTGGGGTTGTGCTCACTTGAATAGACTGATGCAAATATGTGTGTAAACAAACCTATGCCCTTTCAAATACCTAATGGCTTATCCATGCTTGGTTCGCACAAGTGTTATTGCAGTTTCTTTGTATAAGAACAACTGCTGCAAACACAGCCCTGATGTGGCTCTTATGATCAGTGTAAACAGAGTGTTCTCTGGGAGTGTCGTTAGCCCACTCTGAGTAAGGTCCTTCCACTCCCACAAGTAGCTTCTGAACCACTAGCTGTCACTATTCCAAGGGACTGGTGCATTTTCAAAATCTTTAAAGCTTGGGAAATAATGGTAATTTTCTCTCCCTTTTTCTTTTCTTCCCTTTCCAATCCACCAGTATAAAAGACAACAGAAAAACCAGACCCTGGGCTACAACATAACAATAATAATGGAGGCCATACTGTGCCACTTTAAGAAGGTAAAGTTCTCTCTTATTCTTGTGTGCCTCCTAGCCCCAGGT